GGAGCCTGTTGAGGACGTCATGCACCTTCTTCCCCTTCATCTTCGTATCGACGCGATGGGCCAGCAGTCTGTCGCACGCCTGAAGGTTAAGAAGGGGTGGTTTGGATGGAGGTCTGTCTAATTAGCGCCAACTGACAAGACCTGGACGAAAACAGGGCCTGACCTCAGTTTTGACTTGCATGACGCCTTCCTCTGTGAGCGTGCTAGTCTCAATGACGGGAATGCCGTCCGCAACAAGGTCAGAAAAGATTTTCTGCAAAGAAAGAGGACGACGACAGTCAGTGACATCGTGATAAGAGCCATCAAAATGCAGGTAGCAAGGAAACTAGGACTGTTGTTGAAGACGACGATCAAAATACAGACCTGATTCTCCTCTGAGAGCTCAGTGATCTTCTTCACGTCACACTTATTGGCCACGATAGTCAAAGGCTGCAAGCCACACAAAATAAATGCGATTAAAAAAAGACCTTGAATTAGCCCTCAGAAGGACGACGCCAACAACACGCGGCAGGCCACCTTGTTGGCGAACAGCGGGCGAATGTTCTCGAACAGCTTGAGCTGCTGCTCCAGGTTGTGGCCGCACTGCTCCGACACGTCCATCACGTAGAGCACGGCCGAGCGCAGGTGGGCCAGCGCCGTGATGGCCTGCATCTCGATGGTGTTCCTCTCCTCCAATGGGTGATCCAGGATCCCAGGAGTGTCCACCACCTGCAATCACAGAACCAATGCAGAGCCTCCTAACACGTTCCCAGAACCAAAAAACCTCAATGTCTTGTGCAATTAAAAAAAAAAAAAACAGTATAGATATACACAGTAGCAGGGAATTCATTGCTTGTCAAACTGAAGGGTGAATCTCAACATGCATACTTGACTGTACTCATGTACCCATCTTACATCATCTTCCATTGCCGAAGACCAGTTCCAATACTAAGAACACAAGTACAGAGGACGGTAAAAATCCCCGGATGTTGGTCTTGCAACGCCCCAAATATCAAGGACACATTGGTTGCATCCTCAGCAAACGAGACCAATCCCATGATTCATTGTGGCCCAAGATTGCACTTAGAAGGCATGTTAGCAAGACCAGTCTTGCCAAGACCCCAAGTATGGTCCTTGCGTTCTTGGTAATGAGATTCACCCGAAGATCTCAGCCATTCAATAATTCTACTTTTGAGGAAGTCTAGTTTCATACTCTGAAATTTCTACGCTACTCTGCAACACAAACCTGCCAGCGTAGGTACTTGTAGTCCATGTGGCCAACAAACAGGGACTTGGTGGTGAAAGCATACGGCTGCACTTCCACGTCAGCTCTGGTGACCTGCTCAAGAAAAACCGACCATCAGCACAGAAACACCAACCGGCTTATGAGGCCGGATCTTTGCAGCGTTACTGGGGGCATCTACAGCCCAATGTGGGCAGGGCCCACTCAGCATTTCCCTCACAGTCTCTCAGGCTTGACACAGCCCCCCCCCCACAAACAGACAGGAAGCTTCACTGTATAACAGTGATGGATGGGCATCAACCAGAGAGAAAGAAGCTAGAGGAATCGTGCCCACCTTATTGATGAAGCTCGACTTGCCCACGTTGGGGTACCCGCACAGAAGCAGGGTCCTGGTGTTGGGGTCGATGGTGGGCAGGCGGGAGAGATGCTGCCGTACTGTGGGGAGGGGGGGGCAGAGGGAGAGCGGGGCAAAGCTGTTACCACCAAGGGGGCGGTGCCCTGACGGGACTCGGTTTTAAAGCTTGACTGAGGGAACCGCGCAGGAATTCCAAAGCACTCGCGCTTCCGTACGTGCGCAAATAGCAAAGTTTCACGTCAATTCAAGCGCATCACTTGTTTAATTCCAAACACAGCAACACGTGAAGTCAATAAACGACAGACAGGAAAGAATATAATAAAGGTAATCCCTCCATCATGCTGACGATGGAAAAATCATTCAAATAACTGGCAGCAATTCATGACAAATGTTTAAACGTAAATAGTATGAAAATGGGATCGTTAGACTGCAACCCTGAGCTGTTCCTCCAACCTGGACCACTGGCCACATGATGTGCTGTGTAAATCAGGGCAGCCCCCACGCCATGTGATCGCACTCAAACCCCCACCTTGCTCCAGGTACTCCAAACTCTGCTTCTGCCTCTTCATGATGGTGCACATGCGACCCAAGGCGGCCCGCTTCAGCTGCTTGCAGCGGTACAGGGAGTCTCCGTACTTCATGAGGCGAACATAGTCCTTGGCGACACTACGGACAAGATGTTTGGTCACGCCCGAAGACAAGCTTGGGTTTAAGAAAAACGAACCACGAAAATAACCAAGCTAAAGACACAGGGAGAAATTACAGGACTGGGCAAATAAATAAACATACTCCTTACTTGTCAATCAGGTTCTTGGCTATATTTATCTGTCCCAGGGCCAACTTGTAGTGGTCCTTGTCATACAAAACGTTCATCAGGTCTGCATAAAATGGGTGGACGTCCTGAGGGCAGAAACACAGAAAATCATCATGACAAAAGCTATTTTAAAAAGTACTATTACAGACACCAATTTAATTTTGTAATATTTAATCTGAACTTTTCAAAATCCAACTGCTTACACATACAATCTTCCAACTGCTCTTTCATACACAATTACATTTTTTTGTACACTTACATCAAGCTTTGGGAAGTCCGTCAAGATCTGAGAGAGTCGATCGTGGTAATTCTGCTGAGTAAATTTGACTTTTCTCATGTAAAAATGCCTGATGCGGTGGATCTGATAGTGCTTGTGGACGACTGTTGGCGTTTTCCTCTGGGTTTTGGATAATGTGAGGTCTATGAAGTCCTGGATGGGGGAAAACGTGCGTATTTATCCTAAATACGACAAAACGCTATATAATACAAAATCATAATTCTTCCTATGTACGCAAGCGTCTGTTGTCATGTCATGTAATTACCCTCCGCAATCTGTCATGAAAGAAGTACAACAGCATAATGTCAGCTGTTAAGCTAGACACCCTTTTAAAATCTGGCCGATCATAAACACGTGTTGAGGCAGCGGAGAGAGAAACGTCCACAAAGATTTTCTCCATTAGATAAAAACATTTTTTCACAAATTGAGTTACCCTTTCCATGACAAACACAAAAAACGCAACAATAGGACTGTATAGATACCTTTGCGGTGGGAACCACCATAATTTTCTTGAAATTGTAGAGTGCCATCTTTGCTGAGCACACTGATCAGCTCCACGGCGGCACGGGAAAGGATCGGTGAGCGGTGACGTCAGCATGAGTCGATGCGGCCAAGAAGGCATCCTGAGAAATCAGCACGGTCGGTAATTTTTATATACTGCCCCCTCCAGGTCAATGCCGGGGTGGTACATTCATACGCGAGGGGCAAAGGCAAAAGCTAATCCAATATCAAACGCATAAAAACTGTAAGAGATTTGTGTTTTTCAAAAGCGTGGACATTTTTTCGTGAATGTCAAAATTCTGTATTTTAAAACTTCTCATTTTTGTACACACGGTTTGCGGAAACAATTTACTATGCTTCCTGATAATGACTTGGTGTGGCTGCTTATAACCCAGTTCCGTAGGAGGAAGCAGACAGCCTGGCTGTCTTTTAATTCTTATCGTCCCCTAAAATATCCTGCCATGCATTAACTTTCTGTCTACCTCCCACTGCTTCTAGGGACATGCCTAAATTTCTTCCTAAGGTAATTAGATTTTGGGCGCTTTCTAATTCTAGAAGTGTCGCTCTACCAGATAGTTTATGTGAACTGATTGACTATTTACTATTTTTATATAATTCATTGAAAAGACATTGTACATAAGCACCCAGAGTCTAAATCTCGTTATTATATGCCGCAGCATTGTATTTTGAAATACCCCCGACTTATCGGACATAACGACTATGTGTGAAATTACAATACAGTATACGATATAAGATAAAGTGATAAATTACTGTACTGGTACTAGATCATAGAATATTGACAGATTAGCGGCATTATGACTCTACTCCCATCTTCATGACCAATGCTAAACTTTAATACCTGTTTCTTAATAATGTCCCTTTATTGTTGACCTGACCCACATAAGAGCTTTCAAGACATTAATGGTAGGTCTCCTTTGTATCCTTTTGTCTTGAGTATGGGGTACTTCCCATTTTGAGAGCCAGGGCGCAGGAACTCAAGGGACAGGACGCGCCCCCCACCTCAAAATCGGCAATTTTTAAATTGGCTTCATTTCCCCCGCCCCCAATAAACATGCCTTTGCATATAAATCATTAATTTGTGCTCCCCCACTATCAAACTGTCCCCAACGCCGTTGGTTGAAAGACTCATATAATACCCTTACTTATTTATTTAAAGCTTGCCTATGATGGAGCGTTCATGATTATTGCTTTCTACTTTTTCTGTTTAAAAGTTTGTTCCTTTATAAGCAACCTTTCACAATACCTGTAGATGTGTATTGTAGACGTTTGGTAAAACCCAACTAATGCTTTGAAGTAGGCTGAAAAATGGTGGCTTTAACACATGTTCCTATTTTTTAATTGCATGGATCATTCTACTGGAGACTTCAACCTATGCCTGGAAAAGTGACAGGTTTCCGCCAAAATTACAACGTAATAGAACAGATAATGTCGCGTACAGTCGGTGGAACAGCGCAATTCCATCAAGTACCATACTAACACTATCCTACGGTTAAAAATAAGGCAGTGTCGCCGAACATGATGTGTTACTCACAAAAGTCCCTTATTAGAATTAGCTGTAATTAAGAAAATTGACAGAACGGACGTACTATCGATGTTTCTAGTTTAGTGCAACCTTGTCACTAATGATAGTAAAAATGGAACAAAAATTAAAATTGCATATTTTATTCTAACTCCCAATGACTATGAAAATCGACCCACCGACTGAGAGTAGCGATGAATCTATTGGCTATATAACAATAAATAAAGTTTCGGACCCTAGAACGAGGTTTGGCGGCTGCAACCAATCATCAGTCGCGCTGCGGTCACGAGTGAGGGCGCAGTCCTGCAGTCTGAGCCAACCGGGAGGTCCGCTGTACGGGCAGGGAGGCGGGAGCTGCGCGAGACTCTGCTGTGACTGAACAAAGTGTGCGATGGTGGCCGCGCTCCGGGTGGGAGAGCAGTGCTACGATTCGCCCCCTTTTCGTTGGTCTTGCTAGTCGTTTCGCCGAGGCTGGTGGTACGTACGCGCGACGAGGAGACGGGTGGCCGGTCGTTGTGTTTGTTTTCGTTCTCTGACTCAAAGAAGAAGAGCAACAATAACAGCGACGGCGACGACGACGGCGGCGACGACGACACAGTCGTATTTTGGTTTTAACCGCGCTGAGGGAACAAACCCAAACTTCGTGTCCGTTGGCCGGTCGCCGTCTTAAAATCTGTTTTGCTTTTAGGTAAGAGCAGAAGTTAGTGATCCATTTCGAGGTGTTTATTTAACACGAATAAAGTAGGGTTTTTTTTTTAGCTGGTGTATTTTCAGCCCGGGAACCGTAAAGGCCCGGTCACTGCAGCGCTGTGCAGGTGAGTAAAGCGCCGTGTAGCATGTTAGCTAAGCTAAGCTAAGGGGGTATTTTCTGAGTATGTGGTTAAATTCTGGTGCCATGAATCTAGCCTTAGATATGGTGACTTATTTACTTAATCCGTAGTTAAATTCTCGAATTGTAAGGGTTGGCTAAGATAACGAAACGTTTTCACTTCGTTTGTAGTTAAATACTTGCGTTGTGAGGCTAGGCTAAGACCTCGAGATGTATTTGCTCAGTGTGTAGTTAAATACTGTTGTTATGAGGCTGGCCGAATATATATCGAGATGTATTTGCTCAGTAAGTAGTTAAATAACAGGATTGTGAGGCTAGGCTATTATTGATGAATTTATACAATATGTGGTTAAATATTGGCGTTAATGCTAAGATACTACGACGGATTTACTCCCTCAGTAATTAAATATTGGTGTTTTGTTGCTAAGATCAATGTAGATTTACTTAGCCTATAATTTAATACTGGTGATACGAGAATAAGATGTAGTTATAGTCGCGAGTGACAACCATATGGCTTGGGGACTGAGAAACACAGAGGTTGCCATCTTCCGAAGGGTGCTGTAGGCGTCTATATTCCAGATAGCCAGGACCGGAGGAGCATCGCAGGTGCAGTGTGAGCTGATGTGTGCTGCATCCTAGATTAATACCTCGTCACTTCGTGTCAAATAGTCTCGATGCGCAGGGTCATGCTTTCATTGATTACAGTTTATAATTAATTATCTTAGGAAGTTTCAGCTACCCACAGACCTGCACTGCGTCTCTGGCTTCTTAAAACTTTATTTATCTTGCTCTAAAATAGTTTTTGAATGGTTCGTAATGATCAGCAGCACTTTTTTTATTGATATTGCACGTCAATAGCATTTGTAATTCATAAAACTCCTCGGCATCATCTCGAAAGTGTCACCGTCACTCTTGAGACAGCTTCGATTTTTACATTTCCTTTAGCATAACACAGATTACTCAGATGCCTGGATAATCAGGTTAAGGCCAGTTGACTTAGCACATACTTTTAATCCATATGCTTATCTGGTTCGCAAGAGGCCTGGCCAGACTATTTACAGTTTATTAACAGCTGACTGCAGCTCTGTTCCATGATGTTCTTTAACGTAGTGTTTGTGTTCTAAGTAATTGAAGATTTTCTTTTCTCTAGGGTACCTGACCTCTTGCCTTTTGACATTTGAATGTGCTTAATCTTCATCCTTTCCTCTATACCAAAGCAGACTATACTTGCAGTTCAGGCAATATCATCATGCAGGATGCTAATAGACTGGTGTATTTGTGTGATTCTCTGTTCACGTATGTAGTTAAATCAGGGAAAGTTAGACATTTAGCTGTCAGTGTCAATTACTATATATTTTTCACAGTTACGGCAGGAAACTGCGGTTGTGGCAGTGTTTTTGGTCCCTTTGATGCACCACATTGTATGTGCCAACACTATACTTAAAGGCATGGTGAACTGTTGGAAGTATCACAGTTTTTGTCTGCAACTTTATACCCTATTTGTTGACTTTTTATTAACTTTTTGAAGTTATGTTTTTGTTTCATTTATCCTTTGTAGACAACATCATGACACTGTCTGATGTTTGTAATGAGGCTGGAACTTTTCCTGGTGTTTAAGAAACTTGTATTTGTGTCTCTATGTGTAATATATTTTTTAACCAACTGACTGCTAGGGTCCATACCATGCATAGGACAAGTGGGTATGGAAGTTGGATAGATGACTGCTTGGCATGTATAATCGGATTTGAGGTGTCTACATGGCTTCATCTTTCTTGCCCCCTTTAGCCATAAATCCGCAAAGCTAAACATAACCTGCTGTTTGTTTGTGATCTATACCTTGTTTCATGTGGGGATCTCTACTGCACCTTGCCAATAAATAATATCGCCAAGAATTAACCTTGTGCTGTATTGATCTGAGTTTCCCTGGCCTTCAGTCATGTACCCTGAATTGTGCTTTCTTAGTACTTCTCGTCATTTTCTGTAGCATTTCAAGATTTGTTTGTAGCATGTTAAATGTCAACAAAGAGCCAATTAATTTTAATTTCATGAATGCTTGGCAGTGCTTTAACATTTTATTCATATTGTGTGCATGTTGTAATGATCTTGGTTAGAGAAACTCAAACTAGGCCCTTTCCAGGAAAATATCGCTGTCACTGCCTTTCACGTAATGTACCAGCCCATTTAACTTTTTTCCATACTACAATTTTGGTGTCTTGTTAAACAAATGCACCCGTGCCCAGAGACAGGAGGGAAAAAAAGCTTTGTGACCAAGGATTGGAGTACTCATTTTCTGGATTGAGCCAATAAAATCATCGATAAGAACATGTTGGAGATTGATGGTCCATGATATTCCTCTACCATGGGCTGTCTGAGCCGCCTTTCTCCTATTGCTAGTTGATGAATTTAGACAGTTTGTTTTGGAAAGTATGAAGCAACATGCTCTTAACACGCTTGCACCCAGACTCCTGAATCTAGAGGACGCATTGAAGTTCTTAAAACTGACTAGTGACTGACAGTACCCACTAAAGTCATCCCCTGGGTTTCAAAACCCCATTTCTTTAGCGCTTACTTTGCTTAAGTGTTTGCTGCACAAATTTTGCAAGGAATTGGAAATACTGGGACAATTTTGAAGTGGCATAAACTAGGGCTGCACAATTGTTTTTTATGATTAATCTTGATTCATACCTCTTTCATTTCTATATTACGATGGTTCTTCTGCATTGTATTATATCAGTTGGATTAAATCAAAACTACTTTTCACCAGAGAGTCTCAAGAATCCCATAATTCTGCATTCTCTTTACAGGATGCTTTTCCACCACACCAGGTACCTTACTTTTGGTTCATCAAAAAGGTACCAAAAGTACGGTACTTCAAGGTGGTTTTCCACTGGCATAAAAACCGGTGCCGGCACTGAATAACCTCACAATGCGTGGCGGGATATTTTGTATTAAATTCGAAAAATGGCTCTTGTATATTGTAGTGCTGGTCGTTGTGCGATATTAATAACAAGATTGTGCGTTGTGCACATGCAATTCTTCGTTCGCCTGTGAGCTAGATTAAGATAAGGCTCTTTCTTACTTTCAGTTCTGTAAACGAACATTTAAAGTAGGGGGTGTTTAGGTTCCTCTGTTAAAGGAAAGAAAATTAAGTTTCACAATTTTAATTATTTTTCCTTTTCAAGATTATCTAGTATATGTTTAAAAATCAGTTTAAAGTTTACCTCTGCTGCGTTTGCATGAGCACTGTTTTGGTTACTCTAATTCAGCGGTGGCTAATCATATCCGCAAAGGGCCGGTGTGTGTGCAGGTTTTTGGGACAACCTCTAGGTCAGCTGTTCAAACCCAGTTGTGAGGACTCTTCAGCCAATCAGTCCTCTAATTAGTAATCTAATTAGGGAGTTGCAGCGAAAACCCGCACACACACCGGCCCTTTGTGGATATGATTGGCCACCACTGCCCTAATTGAATGGCCAGTTGAGCGTTTCCTTTCTGTTGTCAGAAGTTGATATGCCAGTCCTGGGTCAATCTTATGTTTGGTGCAGTCATGTTTTGTTGTTTCCCTTTGCTGTTTAATGAGTGAATTTTTTTTTTTTAAATTTAAGAAAAAAAAGTTTAGATAATTGCGATCTCAATTCTAAGCAAAAGAATTGCGATTCACACGCAGAATAACTGCAATGCAAATGTGTCTTAACGAAGACCTTTGGGTTTGACACTCAACCAATAATGCGAGGTTAGCCATACTTATGTGTGCCATTTAGCTTCTTGGAGTAGCCAGTCTGTTGTTGTCATGTGCGCTTAAATTATTTTGCTTAATTTACTTTCTACAATTCCTCTATGTCAAAATATTAATAATTGCTGCTAAAACAAAAGCTCGGCCTGCCATTTAACTGCATCATCTTACATAATACAAAACATATTCAACTTATTATTTTTGGGGAACGTGGTGTGTTTTGAGTGGCGCTCAACGCACCACATGGTCAATGAGTGAGTCAAACAGCAGGACAAGAATGATTTTCAGAGCGTGCTGGTAGAGCTCATGCAAAAGCAGTAAACTTTATAATTAACATTGCACATCATGCAAGTCTGTTAGGGCTGTTGCATGCAGCTGTTTTTGTGTGTGTGGAGTTTGAACATTCTTGCCATGTGGGTGTGGCTTTTTGAATATCTTTCACTCTTCAGGAACGTGAAATTTAAATGCTTTAAATGGACCGTATGAGTGATCCTACTTTGCGCCGAAAGCAGTGTGTATTTTATATTATATTACATTAGATTAGTAATTGGTAGATTACTCGATTATTGATATAATCGAGAGTGACAGCCCTAGTTTGTTCATTTGCCCAGGTAAACATGTCACACATTCCCGGAGTATGAAGCTGTTTTTAAACTGAATTAATATACATTAAAATGAGTATTAGAACTGGCTGTATAATTTCCTTGATTTAAAAAAAAAAATGATGTTAATTTTATTCCTTCCAGAAGAGAATTTACATTGGGGCAGAAGCTTGATAAATATCGTCCTGTTGTTATTCTTTTGGTACATGCACACCTGCAAAAAACTGAGAACTGAGGTCTATAAGTGCCCCTGTTTCTGTTGCGCTTCTACAACCTAATTGTGGTGAGCGCATTAAAACTCTTGGAGGCACTATTCAAGAACCAAAGGAAGGAAGGCCTGCCCAGTTTTGATTTAAATGAAATAAATGGGGTAGAATACAGTAAAAGTTCCTGATTGGTTTATTACAGTTCTGTGTAAAGAAGATCATAAACTGCAGCGTCATGCCCTACAAGGTCCATGACATAATCTGCCTTTTGCAGGTTTAAATTAGTTAGCTCCATTTCAGAGAAATGGGCATCTGTTCATGTATGGATTTACTTTTGCACACAAAATGCAGGTCATATTGTTTATCAAAATGGCTGCGATTAAAAGTTTAAAGTGCAAATCTGCATCCTGGGCGGCCTTTATGGGGTTTGATTGCTTGACACTGATTTACACTCTTGGCTCAAACACTGAATTTCTTCCATAAAAGGTACAACAGCAATTTCTTATTGCATGTTGGCTGCGGAGAACTTCACAGAAAACTTCTATAAACCATTTGTGTTATGTAAATATCTTGCCAAAGAGTACCAGAAATTTTTTAAATAAATATGTCTGGGAATGAAGTCGCAGATTCAGTGTCATAATCCGCATAGCCATGCTGTTCTTTTTTCTGCTTTGTGTCTAAACACAAAGCCTCATGTCAGAGACAGGCTTTCAATTGTGTGGGGATTATCACTTCACAAACGGGCCATGTGAAGGGGGGGGGGCTCTTTTCAGTAGTGTGGTGTTGGGGAAAATATATCTGTGTGGCAAATTGTTGTCGACTGTTTTCTTCATGTACACACTATAATACTACTCAGAAATTAATTTGTTCACACCCTCCCATATGAATTTGAATTAATATGAACATATGAACTGCGGTGCCAAGTGGCATTCATTTCAGCTGGTTTATTTCGTTATGTAATGTAATACTACGACATCCTATATGGATTGCGGACCCAGTGAGAATGCTTACTTGCTTTGTAACTTGGGAGGCTGCGGTGTTTTTCAAGTATATTGACCCTCCGATTCAGAATAGGTCCTCAGTAGGTGAATGAATCACAAATTGATTAAAATAAATATTTAACAAAAACACAGTAGCCACTTACTACCACAAAAAAGGATCCGGATTTGGCTCTTTGTGACAAGCCTGTGCTTTTCCAAGAAATTAAGGTAGATTTTATTTTTTTATATACAGTGGTACCTCAGAACTCGAATTTAATCCGTTCAGAACTCTGGATCGAATCCTAAAAAGTTTGAGGTGTGATCGAATTTTCCCCATAAGAAATAATGGAAAACCAATTAATTGGTTCCCGGCCCCAAAAAATGACACCTAAATTTTTTTTTGCATTTAAACACAAAATGAACCGGATAAAACAAGAAGAGCATATACTGTACTAAACACATCTAAGCAAATTTATCAAAACAGCAATTTGTAAAGTAAGAAAATAAATGTATCCAAACAATGTGTAAAGTTAAAAAAAACAATGTGTCCTGCCCCGATCGTCCTCTCCTTCTGTGTGCCACGTGGAATCCCCATGTGATCAGCTGTTTCTGGTTGTTGTCATTAGTCCTCTGTATTTCGTTCGCGTTTCAGTTTGTTTCCCCAGTACGGTCATTGTATTGTCCATCTGCGTTTTGCATGCCTTACCTGTAATTAAACCCGTATTCCCCAATACCCTGACGCCTGCACCTTTGTCTCCGCTCCGTCCCCGCTCGGTACGGCAATATTATGATAATTAAATGTATAATGGTTTATTATTAATATTAAAATAATAAGAAATCTTTATTTAAAAATTATTTTATTATATATTACTGTTTCTGCTGAGAGACGTGCCACGTGACTCATTTCCCCGTGCATACAAGTTCTTAGGTCGGCATTTACGGTTTGAATTCTGAGATTCAGATTGAGCTCTAGGTAATTATTTCTAACTTTTAAGAATTCGAGTTCTAATGAGTTCGAGAACTGAGGTACCACTGTATATATAAAAAATAAGCATAACACTGATTACTATATTGCCTAAACTGGTTAGTCATGAGTAGAATTCGTGTAGATGGATGAGCTCCTCTGTATTTGTTTCTCACGTTGTGGTCCTCTCTTTTTCACAGCTTGCTTCTCTCCAAGGAGCCAGGAAGCAGACGGCCCATGACTTCTGACCAGGACGCCAAAGTTGTAGCTGAACCACAGGTGCAGCGAGTCCAGGAAGCTAAAGAAAACGCTCATTTGGTGAGTTGGCTCTTCTGTCCTCTTTGGGTGCTAGATGCTTCTTGTAATCAGTCAGAAGACAGGGCTTGGAAGCGTTCTAGGCCCCCTTATCTAGCGTTTCAACAGGGCCCCCTTGGGGACATGATCCTATTTTGCAAGTAGTTTTGGCTGCTCTAAGATTGTGTAGAACAGCAGTCAGTCAAGAGCTTATTTCCTCCTTCAGAAGGTGATTTACTGCAGTTGGAAGCAGTCTTGCTCCAGGTCTTCTCTGGAACAATTATAGGTACCTAGAATGTATGAAAATTGCGCAAATCGGCACAGAGTATATTCACCTGTTTCTTTTAAATGATGGATGCATTTGTAGCTTTGCAGTGTCTAGTAGATATTTTTCCTTTTGTTTTGTGAAGCCTTAGATTTCTAAAGCCAATCCCTTGGTCATCAGTGTTAATAATTTTCAGATATCCAGTGATGAAAGTGCATTGGAGCAAATTCTTTGTACAAAATATGATTGATGCATTTTGTGATTTTTTTTTTTTTTTTTTTAAATGTGCTTTTCAGTTTTTTCTTCTGAAATGTTTTTCATTCAGGTTGAAGTATAATTCAGGCCTCATAAATATTTTAAGAATTTTAAGAAGGCAACTTTAAGAAGGAATGGACAGTAACTTTGTTACAAGCAGGTCCTTGTGCCAATCTGGGCACAGTCTTGTGACATCGCTGCCCATGTGAGTGCATGACTCTGGCATCAAGAATCAGAAGCCCTCTGTGGAAAGTCTTTGCTGTGAGGAACTAATATGGGTGGGTGGGGGGAGAAGACAAAAGCTTAGATACAAAAAATTTGATCAGCTTTTCCTTCCGGTAAGACGTTTATTATTGGAGCCCTGGACAGTCCACATGAGTGGACGAGTCCTGCCATGACCGCATTCCACAGCTGTTTTCTGCATGAAGGTCTTGCGTGTGGATGGGTGTCTCTTTCTGGAGGTGAGGCACTGTGACTTGAGTTTCAGCGCAGATTGTGAGGGACGCCTGCTTTCATGAAACTGCTCTACCGGCAGTTTTTCAGAGAGCTGACCAATCACACGAGCATTATGAATGGAAGTTCATAGTTGTCCTGGAAATGCAGGCCAGAATCTGGGCTGTAATGTAAGAGTACCTGATCCTGCCAAAAAATGACGGAAAACAAATGTAGGTAATGGTGTAACTTTATTAAGGCTTAACACGAGGACGTCATTGTCTTCAATCAGGGATATTTAATATGATTATTAATCAAAATCAGAATCAGATTTCACTTTATTGGCCCGGTACAACTACAGACAACATATAAGAACAAAGAGCATAAATTAAGCAAAATAGGTAAGCAGAAATAAAGAATGAATGAATAAAATACACAGTGGACAGTGCAAGCTGTACAATTAAATATACAATTAATTAGTGACTAAAATGATGGAAATAGATGTGGAATAAGTGTCATGTCATGCTTTCAGACAGGATAAAGTGTCAGATAAGATAAAGTAAATATGTCATTGTAACAAAACTACGGCATTAATGTTTGCACCGAATGCAACATCATATCTTGCCACTAGTTACTTGCATAAAATTTGAGTAGTACAATGATGTGCTCCAGTCCGCTTTAAGGTAGTATACTACATAGTCACTGTGGTTTAAAGGATTTCTGTGTCATGTCAGAGGCCATTAGAAAAACTGGTGTAATAATGGACACGTTTACGACGCCTAGCCCTGAGTTTTATTACGCAATACTTTTGACAGGCGATGTCAAATAAATGAAAAACTATACAATGGAGATTTGGAAACGGCATAGATCGCAACCAACGAACTCTATACACATTGTAGTAGTTCATTGGAATCTGATTGAGAGTGGATGGAAACGATTTGTGCAGGGTTGTTGATGTATAACACACAATAGGCACATATGACAGGCTCATCCTAAATTATCTTCAGTGTGACCGCATGGTGTTGCTGAGGACCTTCCCATTTACACAAAACACAACTAACTGTCCTAGAGGGGAAGTCCTCAGAACGTGACCGCTCATAACAAATCTGGAAGCACCGGTTATACAATCCTACTGTTGTTTCCTGTCGGGGAGGGATCTTCAACTGCAAGTCCTTTGGGAGGGTGTTGGCCTTCACAGGAGAATGTTATGAACTAGAATATACCAGATTCCCAAGGACTGACCAGATCAGCCTAGAGGAATGTTCTGGCTATTTTTAGATATGCTTTGTCTATATTTTGGTATGTTTCTATTGGGGCTGCTGCGATTAGTTGATGTAGTTGATGACGTCGACATTAAAAATGCGTCTCAATATTTTAAATGCTTCCACGCTTCGATTTATTATAGCAAATGTTTTCCTTTAATATCACTAAGTAATTATGGGGGTAGTTCAGAAAGGTGGTTTTACACAGTGAAAAGTGTGATGGCATATCACGGCGGTACTAGCGATATGCAGGAGCACCGGAAGAGAGAACGCAGGCGCTATTCTAGACCACCAGAATAGGCAAAACCACCATGTTGTCTATCCATGTTTATTAACCATTGGTACGGAGAGCTTTTTAATATCTTTTGTCCTTGTCGCTGCTAAGTACGCTCGTTAATAAAGCCATAACGTTGTCTGCTTGCTGTATTAGAATCTCCAGTGAATTGGTGTTTATGAAAACATATAGGCTAAAATCTGGTCATATTCTATGTTGCCAGTGTGTGCGTTCGCACATTTTGACTTGTTGGGACCAGTGTCATTATCGTAAACTAAAAAGGAAACGAAAACGGACACAAAAAAATAATCCGTGAACTGAGATAAAAATGAAAACCATATTTGCAAAAAAAAAAAATGTCGGACGTTAATCTGCAAAAGTACCGTCACACCACCAACATGTTTTTACTTTGTTTAACCACAGTAATTTCCTCTTTTGTCGTAACTTCAATGCTTATTGGTTGTGTTGCATGTGGTGTGTTGCAATAACCGAATTCATTAAGCATGAGGATCCGCCAAATTTATACAGATTACTAACTTATGGGCATCACAATACGCATCTCATTAATATTGTAAGGCATACTTCTAATCTGCTCATCGAATTGTGGGTAAAAAATAATATTCATATAGTGGCGAAAAAATGGCATGCATTATCTAATTGGCATACAGTTTGTTAAAATTAATTTTTATTAAATGGTCAAATTGATTTTCTGGAGAAAAAATAAGATTAATCGACCAGTCAATAAAATAATCGATAGATTAATCTATAGAAGTTAGTGGCAGCCCAAGTTGCTATACATATTGTAACCGTTTTACTAATATTCCTTTACTATACAGTTTTACTAGTTACGTGTACTCGCATACATATTTCTATATTTTTCCGAAATTCAATACCAAAATTCAATGCCGTACCAGTCCTCCTTTCCTTCATGGCAAGTTTTGAAATAGAAAACTGGCACTTAATCACAGATACCTGTGGGTAAAATGGAAAGCGGATCATTGACTTTTAGAGTACACGGTAGGCTGACTCCGCTCAGTCATGCAGCAGGTAACGTTAGCCCAAGTGTAAGAGGTGTATCTCTGAAGAAGAGCTGGTTTCTTGGAGAGTGGCCTAATTTGCTCCTACGCTTGTTTGATGGGGAAACGCGCAAGTTCCTCTGTATGCTTTGTACATGATACAGGTCCATTTGTGGGCAGACATCATGAAATGCCAACATTCATCAGACATCAGTGGTGGGCAGATAGGGAAGGATAAACCAGGCAAAGTTTCCTGAGTAACTCGTCCTTAACAGCTGCTGAGAATTTCTTTTATTGGGTCGACTAGTGCGGGGGAAAAAAATGTTTTTAAATAAATTCCATTGCCCATAGAAGAACTAAAATTTAACAGCACCTAATAAAAATGAAAACCATATTTACAAAAATAAAACAATAATCCAAAACATTATGAGTACCCTCACGTGAAGTGAGTATATTTTGTAAAAACAGTGCGAGTGTCATGGTCTGGGATTAAATAGATGCAAGCTATCGTCCAGTACTCATGGTCGTCATGTTCACTGCAGAAGAAATGGGGCAAAGATGAAGATCTGAGTGACTTTGAAAAGGGCCAAATTATTATTGTCAGAGCATCTCCAAAGCAGTGAGTCTTGTAAGGTGCTCAGTCAGCCATGGTGAATTCCTACTGCCAAGACTCATCAATGTTAGACGTGAATTGAGTTTGTGCCTTGTGGTACAAACCAACAGAAAGGCCGCTGTGGCACAAATAGCAGATCATTTTGATGATCACAGGAGTAATGTATCCCAACACAATGCATCGAGCCCTGCTGTGTAAGGGGTTATGTAACCATGGATCATACTTTTCAGTGCAACACATCCCACAGATGCTCGCACACATCTGGCCATTCATGCAATGCAACTGAAAACAGGGCCTTTAGGTCCAGTTTCAGCACTTCTGTGCCTATTGAAGGCGCTTACAGTGGTGGACAAGGGCACTGTATGGTCGGCTGCCCCATTGCCCACATAGCCCCATATGCAGAGGGCTCCATGCCCTGTGTGTTCTGACACATCACTCCCATGTACCAGACGTGATAGTGATAGCCTTTGTCCACATCATGCCGAGTCGTGGCCAAAATGTGGTCAATTGGCTGAACATCACGCAGAAGAATTTCGAGGAATCCAACATGAAACCGAAGTAAATTTATTCCAGGGGAAAAACAGATCCATTCATGAATATGATTTAATGGGGAACTTGGGTGACCATGGCAATAGATTTGTTTTTTGTTTTTTTTGTCACTGAAACATGTTTGGATTATTGTCCTGCTAAATAATTAAACCACACCCGTTTTTGGCTATTTGGAAGCCAAATTTTGATTTTAAGTCTCCTTTTACTTTATGGAGTCCATGATACCATGTGCCAAGGTTCTTGGGACCTTCACACATCCACCATCGTACTTAACAGAGGAGATTCAGTTTCTTTTTTGAATAATTATCCATCTTTTTACACCAAGTCCTCCTTGACGGTTTGTTGCCAAAAAAGCCCAATTTTGGTCTCATCTAGAACCCAGTTCCAGTCAAAATTTCAGTAGTATCTAGAGAATTCCAGGTGCTTATGTTTATGGTGTAATGTAACACTTTCTCCTGACATAACATAATTGTAATTTTGGACATTTGGTTAACTCCAAGGTGTTACCATCTTGTGCAGTCTTCTCCAACTCTGATCTTTGCAGAAAATTTTGCTTCTGTGAAGAATTATTCATGTGTGTGGGAGTGAAGTACACTGACAGAATCATTATATATTATATGGACAATAGTATTGGGACACACGTCTTAATCATTGAATTCATGTTTCATTCAGACCCATTGCCACAGGTCTATAAAATCAAGCGCCTAGTCATGCAGTCAGGTTAACAAACATGTGGGGAAGAATGGGTCATTCTGAAGAGCTCAGTGAATCCAAGTGTGGCACTGTCAATGATGCCTCCTTTGCAATAAGTCAGTTTGTGAAATTAGGCCTCTTAATTCCAGTGAAGGGAAGTCTTAATGCTTCAGCATACCAAGACATTTTGGACAATTCCATTTTTCTAACTTTGTGGGAACAATTTGGGGACTGATGCACAAAGCAAGGTCTGTAAAGACTTGGTTGGGTGAGTTTGGTGTGGAAGATATTGACTGGCTCGCACAGAACCCTGACCTCCACCCCGTCAAACACCTTCGCGATGAACTAGAGCGGAATTCACGGGCTTTACGTTTAACATCAGTGCCTGACCCCACAAATGGTTTTCTGGGTAAATGGGCAAAAATTCCCACAGACACACTCCATAATCTTGTGAAAAGCCTCCCCAGAATATTGGCAAGTGTTATAGCTGCAAAGGGGGGGGGGGCAACTCCATAATGATGGCTATGGATTTAGACTGGGGTGTCATAAAACTTCCTGTGGGTGTATTGGCCAGGTGCATTCATCCATTTATTGTATTTCCGATCATTTTGCACAAAATATTGCCCTTGTATTGGATTTGGACATTCTCAGGTGTATAGATGTTTTTTTTTCTTTCTTTCTTTAGCTGTTGCTTGGTTTATGAAGCTCAACGGTCTCATTGCATTTCTGTGTTCTCTACTCGTACTCATGTTGATGAATACAATAATCGAATTTGGCCTCCGTGTTACTTGATTCATACCGCAGCGAAGGAATGGACGATCACTTAAAAGTTCAGGTGAACACAATAAAGTAGTAAAGTAAATATAAATGGGAAAATGGCTTCAGTTACATTTTTTCATTAGAATTCCTAGGCGGAGCCGCTAATTGTGGAAATTTTGTTCAATCTTTTTTCCATAAGTGTACTTTTTTTCCTGGAAAGTTAATTCTGTAAAAATGATGGGAGCTGTATTTTGATTTGTATTGCTGACTTTTTTTGTGGATATATGCACTTTTCTGCACATGATGACACGGTAAAGACTAAAATTACATATGACTGCGTGTCAAACCATCGGGATGGAAAGTTCTAGTGATGGATTTGGGTTAGTGGTGTTTGGACACAAAAGCATGTCTTTTGACCGTAAGACATCCTACACATGTGGGATGCATGAGAAATGCCCAGAGCCAATGTCGCGTTTAAGTTTGATAGGAATGCTACTGTCATCTGAATGCTTAGGGAGCAACCGTCCACCTTCTCAGGAAGGTGTTAAGACACTAAATGAAAACAGCAGTGTCTGCATGTTGCGCAGGACTGCAGTTGAAATTAGATGTGTGTTTTATCCGTTAACATATCGGGATCAGCTAATGTTCGTAGAAAAAAAGAAATGAGTTGTGGGTCCGATGTGTCATTGTTGGTTGATATAGTCGGCCGATATTTCAACTTCATGAATATTAAAAGCTAGAGATGACAGAGCTAAAGACACATAATTACTAAAATGAGGGAGATGATTGCAATCGATCAGCCATTTTCCATAGTGGTGGACGAGCAATTCTGTCGCCTCATGCACCACTTAAAAACCACACTATAGTCGCCCAAGTGGGCATCATCTTGCTGATACCTCAGTATGTGATATGGTTGCCACATACATTCACGAGATCTCATGAAATGTTACCGACATCAGTTTCACTCCAGATCTGTGGAGCTCAGTGGTTGGCAGGTTATCGGTGTCGGTAATATTATACGAAAAGATATTGGCTATCGGTAACGGCCAAAATTTTCACATAATTGCACCACACTAAGTACAGGCTTGCTGAAGGTGTTGTGCGAGAGGTATTACTAGTTGGGAGGACTGGTGAGGTGATGCTGAAGTCTACGTGTCTGGTGATAAGTTCCTGCTGTGAGTGTGAAGGCATCTTTTGAAATTGTGTAGCCATGCCGTACTGGGGACTCTCCTGCCCTCAGCCTCAGAGGAGGACAGGGAAAAACATTGACAGTAGGTGGCGCTGCTGAGCTTGCAGCTGAAGGGGAGACTGTATGCAGAGCTAGTCGGGAGGATAGCAGGTGATGGGGATGCCTGGTGAACTAATGGCACACATTCAGACAGGTCTCAGATGTTAGAATTAGTGTCAGAATATAACCAGGACTGAAAAGATAAGGAAGGAAGTCTCTACTTCTCTGTCAGAAAAGTGGTGGTTATTTAGGGGGGGGGGGGTTCAGGAGTGGAGGTGTAGATAAGATGGGTAATACTTCCTACACAAGCATTGTCACATTGTCCTTTGTAGGTGAAATAGACCCCATGTTGATGGTAGTCTGATGTAGTCAGCAGTACTTTCTGTAGCTGAAATAGCTTTATACATACTCTGGCCATTAGGTGGTGCTGCTGAGCTCTGAAGGCATTGACTGGCAATAAGCCACTGCAAATACTGAGCCCAGCACAAAAGAATTAACTGCCCTTTAATTTCAGTATATTCAATGGGCATTAAACGAAATACGATCCTGACACACACAACGCAAATAAAAGCAGTCTTGCAAACTGGCATATACCGTCAGCATTCACTGTGGCGCACCACAGAATGTAAAGCGCTAGCAGTATTCCAGCCAGGCTGCCAGTCCTTCTCCTCTGTTCACACTGAGGCTCTGCTTGCTTTTCTCCAGCCAATGAAACTTTCGCATCAAGGTGTCCTCACAGTTACCTTTATTAGGAGGATCGTAACAATGAACAGAACTGGTACTATTGCCTTTATAGCTTTGGGTGCTGTATTTGGCCCCAGAAGCCATTGTATGCAAGGCTGACCAGTATTCCGACCAAACATCTCCAGTGTATTTTAACTGTCTAGTTCAGCTTTACCTCACTCTGGAATATGTCAGGGTATAACCATTGGAAATACAAGCCTAACTGCTTGTAAAATGTATTTTCATCCTCAGTTTTGGTGAGACAATTACATCAACATGCTAATTGTTTGCTCCTAGGTTTGCATGTGTGGTTAATATTACTGCCCAAGCCCTATTTAAAATTTTAATAACATGTTTACTAAGCTTTGCTGCATTCAGTCTTTTTTTGGTTGTTTCGCTATCTGATGGTCATATGACTGCTGCTTATCAAGCCATTTAACCTCAATCCCTTCCTGTTATATAAGTGGCTTATACATTTTTAAATGCTGTACATTTTGTGTAATCAGTGCCTTATGGTCTTTAGAGCTGTTATGTAGCGTAATGTTTCATGGTAGAGGTGGCTGACCTTTCCAAAAAAAATCGTATCTTTATATAATGCACACTCTGGATCCATGATCCAAATTGCAATCTTTGTTCCCAATTTTGAAATGTACTGTAAAAAATACCCAGACTCCAGCAAGTGTAAGGACTTGCCTATCGGTGCATTTAAAACACAGTATTGCATTAAAGACACCGTTTTCTAAATGGTCATTAATTTTGATTTTGAATTTAGTGATCAGTGGTCATTGTTGACACACCACAGCACACCGTGCACGACAACGAAAGGTGTCCTCTGCATTTAATCCATATGTGACATCGTGACATAGCAGGGGGCAGCTAAAAGTTATCCTAAGTTTTATATTATTTTAAATATTAAAGTTATCAGATGCTTCTTTTCAAAGCGGCTGAATAGATTTGCTGTATTACCTCTGGAAGCGCCGACTGTGGCCAAAGTTTACCGATAACTTTGCTTCCTCAGCCGCCGTGTCCAAAGCTCACAGGGAATTGTTTTTCAAATACATCACACATGAAAGGGATCTGAGGTAGACATGTGATGCAATTTGGCCAGTCAGCGCGGCCATCTAGTAGGAAGTCATTCATTTGTGAATGAAGCGCGATCCAAAGTGTAACTAACCCGGTCTGTGCTACCTGCCCAATTTCTACCTCACACATCTGCACCGCCTTGCATTTTACTGTATTGATTTGACTTTTTTCTGGTCTGTCTTGTTGTGACAGGAGTGCCCCAAGGTTTCTGATCTTAACCCCAATGCAAAAGTGTGGGCAAGTCATGTGCTTAACTTGGACGGCAGTGGGGCGGCGGACGCCGATGCTGTAAAGACATGGAAGGAGCCCCCCAGTAGAGCAGCGGACCCTCGTCCAGCAGGTATGCAGCATTTAAGGGTTTAACCATCGCCACCATGAGCCTGTGCACGTTCGTGATGAGGTCATCGATATGCTCTTCACAACCTTCATGATTTCTTTCAATTAGCTGTCACACAGAACCAGATACAATTAATTGGTTGATTTCAGCCCTGCACTCGGGCCTTCTAAATTGGACTGTGTTGCCAGCATGACATTTTCTAATCAGTAATCCTTTCTTCAGGGCTACTCTGTTGTCATTCCTCTAAATTCGCATTCGAGCTGCATCCGCACCGGGTACTCGCTCTTTCTTCATTGCTTGCTGCTTTGTCGATTGTGAACAGTGCAATGTTTTAGCAGGTTTTGACATGGGGGAGGACGGTTGCACGTGTGAAGAGCAGCTGTCACCGGAGCAGAAGGAGCCACCCCCCCGTGGCTTAACGGACACTACCGACGTTGCCCCTGTCCCATCCGAGTGCCCGGACTCTGTTTACACGGAGTTCCAGCCTGCTAGTAATCCAAGCATTATGGGTAAGGACATTCAGGATGAGCACTGTTGTGTCTTATGACAGTTATCTGGCCGTTAGGGCTTTTCCATTAATGCCTTCGATTAAGTGGTGAAATAGGCGACTTCATGGTGTATTGTGTGTATTTGAAGCACAAGTTTTCATGCTACAGAGTTTGTCAGGTGGGTGACTGTCACATCTGCTGACTTACTTTATGTTTTCACAGCGTGGCAGACATCCAGTACAAACAGTGTGTCCATTTTGTTGAAACGGGAGCTCAAAGCAAATAAGCCCAGCTCTATGTAAAGGGAGCCATAATTTAGCGGACCCTTATGCTAGCAGAACTTTAACCCACTTCGCCATCTAGTCAATATGAAAATAGTGAAGTTTAACTGCGTGACGTTTTGAGGTTCTCTTTGGGGAAGTGATTTATGAACAGGGTAAGTTGAGACTCTCGTCGTCTACTTGGTCAGGCGGGAACCATCCACACGATGAAGGCCAGCAGGAGGACCTTTTGGAGCAGCTGAAGAAGACCCTGGAGTTCTGCCTGTCTCGGCAAGTGACCCATCACCTACAGTCCCAGGATTTCCTGGGAGAGTTAGCAGAATAGACACAAACACGTCAGGTTTTTAGTCTGTGGTCAAAGGTGGATTCATAAGCCTCGTCGTCAGTGCAGCCAGACTAGTGCCGTATAATAGACTAAACGAGATGCTTGTCATTAAAACCTCTGCTGCTCGTTCTGTCGGACTTGGGTGATGATTAGTTAGCCCTTTCTGCTCTTCGACGGGGTGGTGGGTGCCCACTTCAAAGCGGGCGTGTGTCGCACATGTGGGAGAATGTCGGTGCCCACATGCCAGGGCCTGGGGGTGTGAAAGCAGCACAGTCACACGCCGGCAGCCAGCGACGGTGCTCACCTTAGCGTCGGCTACAGTCCTAACAGCGAGCGACGCCCCTTCACTTTCCTTCCTGCGATTGTATATCAATAACCTATATTTTAAAAGCCAAATATAGAGTACAGTTTGATCCAGGGGTTTTTACTCTCTCCTGAAAAAGAAATAGCTTCCAGTTTGAAGCGTTCAGACGCACAAAGGGGCTGTCTGGGCTGCGTTAACCTCCAGCTCTTGAGAAATGCGAAGTATAGCTGCACAACAATGCCACACTCATTGCGTCGGTCTTTTTGGCGTCTGTGGGAGGTGTTTTGTAAATGCGAGCTTTATTTAAACACTGAAGAATGTGGCAGTGGGTGTTATGGGGAGGGCTCGGAGGGTGAATTTTCTGTTCTGTATCCTGCTTACGGCAGAGAGAACCTGGCCAGCGACATGTACCTCATCTCCCAGATGGACAGTGACCAGTATGTGCCAATCATGACTGTAGCAAACCTGGACCAGGTGAAGAAGCTGAGCGCGGACACCGATCTGATCGTTCAGGTTCTAAGGTGTAAGTATGATCGCTTTGTTTTTCGAGCAGCCAACTCGAAAATACCATTTTACTGTGAATATTCTCGTACCTTATTGTGAATGCATTTTGCTGGAAAAAAAAAGTAATGATTTGCTGGGATCCCGCGTTCACTTTTGAATGGTACCAGTAGAGCTAGGTCCGGCACACAAGCAAAAATGTAGGCTCCCCTTTTGCACAAAGCTCTGTTTCAGAAATGCATGGGGTGCTCTCCTCCACCACCCAGCTGTAGCAGATTACGGTGGGCTTTCCGCAGTCAATAGCTAGCCGTTGTTTTCTCTATCAGCTTTGTGATATGGCCAGTATGGGGAAGGACACTCGCCATTCTGAAACCAGTGATGTGTTGGTCGTAACTGCCAAAGCTGTAATGATCAGCATGGAAGGCATGAGAGAGCTGCGTGTCCTTTCAGCTTGGTCGCGGTACAACCAGTGCCGGTATACATTTGGGTGTGCCCAGTTTGTACAAGACTCCCAGGAAGCTATTTAGTGATAAGTCATTTTTTAGAGTCCAGGCTTATTTGTGGCATTATACTGCAAAACCTGTTTATCTGTTTAGGCGGAATAGTAATTAGCGTTAAAAGGGCAGTTCACACCAAAACCGAAAAAAAGATGTTTTAGAGGGGCTTTATTGCTATCTATCCATCTAGGATGTTCTGCTGGGAGTTGCCTAGTTTGGGAGATATTGGCTATAGAAATGTTGAGCTTCTCTCGAATGTAATAGGAGAATTCTGTGGTAATTATAGCGCCAGAAAAATACATTTGAAAAATTCAACAGCAATATCTCTTACCAGAAATCATGACCCAGTTATTGAAGATACACATAGACTTTGTAGTGAGCGGTTTAATGTAGGAACTATTTTCTTCTACCAAACTCCAGTCATATCACTGCACAGAAGACATCGCCCGGGATCTTCTGCGCAGTGATACGATCGGTGTGTGGAGTTTGGTAGAATAAAATAGTTCATATTTTAAACCGCTCACCACAAAGTCTGTGGATTCTCTCCAGTATCTGGGTCATGATTTCTGGTAAGAGACATTGCTGCTGAATTTTTTTAATGTATTTTTCTGGAGTTTTAATCAGCACAGAAAGAATGCCGTTCACTGCCATTATATTCAAGAGATGTCTGACGTCTGATGGCCGTTATCTTCAAAATTAACCAACTCCCAAAACAACATGCTAGAACGACAGATAGCACTAAATCCCCTCTAAAACGCACATTTTGTCAGTTTTGGGGCGAACTGCCACTTTAATAGCATCAGTCTTTCTCATGTCTGACTTCAGAGTGCATGCAAGGAGTGAATCATGGTGTAATTGATGATCTGCATTAACTCATCCAACTTTAGCTCTGCCTCTGGTCCAAGTGGACGAGAAGGGGGAGAGAGTTCGGCCTAACCAGAACCGCTGCATCGTCATCCTCAGAGAAGTCCCAGAGTCAACACCCATGGAGGCAAGTACCCCCCCCCACCCATACACTGGGCGTGTCCTTGATGATGCTGTGCTGGAAGGGAACCCCTGTGCCTCGGGCGCCCGGCTCGGGGGGGAACCCCTGTGCCTCGGGCGCCCGGCTCGGGGGGGAACCCCTGTGCCTCGCATTCCAGGCCTGTTCATATTCCCTTCTTGGTCACAACAGTTACTTATTTAATACATTTCTGGTGGTGTCGTTAATTCTCTGCTAGGTTCGTCATGCTGATCTTGTCGTAGCAGGTTGCTCTGTATCTAATCACTTTTATTGGCGCGTAGGACCATCTGTGGCTCCTGGATTAGATGGTTTCGCTGTTGTTCGATCAGCCCTTGCTTTGGTCTCATTTTTCTGCAGGCGCAGGGCACACATTGATTAACACAAGCTGAAAACATCTGATAATCTGACAGTAGTTATTTTCACTTCCATTTATTTATGGTTTTTAACATCCATTCATTCCTTAATGCAGAATAATCCTGATACTTGCGTATGTCTTGACGCATCATTTATTGGACAGTGTTTCATCAGCTGGACATCGTTGTTGTTTCGTTGTGATTGTTGTTCACCTCCATGGCTCAGTCACCCTAGTTCCGCTTCATTGGTGGCATTTTGCTGCTAGTCCCGCCTCTTTTTATTCGCGGTCCCTCATAGCAGCCATTTCCTGTCTGGCTTCCTGTTAATTTTGACCTTGTGGGATGAAATGTCCCCAAAGCTTTTGGTGCCTTGAATGAGGTTTCTGGGAACCAGATTCCTCGAGTATTGTAATTAAGCAGCTTGTCATGCACGCCGCACTGTAATTAAAGACCCCCGCCGTCATGTGGGGACAAGCTTGGATTTCACGACGAGCAGGATTTGTCTGAGATATTCTGCGCTGCTCTGGCTCACAGAGAGAGATAAAGATCAAAGATGAACCCGACTTAAAAGCAGAACTCTGTTCAATAGAAACCTTGCGTGTTACTCTTTTGTTTTTGTGACAGGAGGTCGAAGCTCTTTTCAAGGGCGAGAACTTGCCCAGATTCATCAACTGTGAGTTTGCCTACAACGACAACTGGTTCATTACCTTCGAGTCAGAAGCTGATGCCCAGCAGGTAGGTGTCCTGATCAGTCGTGGGCGTCGTGTCCCATGTGGCCATTGTAACTACAGCCACAGACAAGCATCCACCCATCCATCCACCCATCCACCCACCCACCCATCCATCCATCCATCCATCCATCCATCCACCCATCTGTCAATCTTCCAACCACTTATCTTGGCCATAGTTGTTAGAAAGACACACAAACTATATAACAAAATAAATGCAATGTTAAGCTTGGGTGCTCAGGAAGTAATTACATGTTTATCATTTAATCATCTAGGCATATCGTTATCTACGAGAAGAAGTCAAAACGTTTCAAGGGAAGCCTATTAAGGTAAATTCAGCCCGACATTCACAGTGTTGTCGTTCACACAGTAAGCTACATTGTATTATTCATTTAGCATCACTAGTTAAACTGTAATAAGCTTCTCAAAATGATCAGATTTGTTTTTACGGATGTCTGTGGTTATCTGTTTAAGTCTGAGGAGGTCGATGACACTTTAAGTGTCGTCATTCGTGAGCATCTTTAGCGATGTATCTGGGAAGGGTCGTCTGGTCTGTTACCCCGTGTCCCACGTTTTGCCCGTGTCTCACGTTTTCCCCCGTGTCCCGTCTCACGCCCCCAGGCACGGATAAAAGCGAAGGCGATCGCCATCAACACTTTTGTGCCAAAGAATGGTTACCGACCCGTGGAGGTGAACCCTTACGTCCAGCAGCGCTACACCTCCTTCTACGTGCCTACAGTCTATGGTCCTCCCCCACACTTCCCTCTCTACAGCCTGATGACCCCCCAGGCGTGGGCCAGCGCTCACACACCCGGCTTCATAGACCCCACGCTGGTGGGTGCTTCTACCACTTCCTGACCCGTAGGGGGAAGGAGTTTTCCTTTACTGAAAGTCATTTATTCTCAGGACTAAGTGAATCGGATGAACTGCAGTTTTTGACGGTGTATGTTCTGTAGGTAACACCGTTCCATAATACCGGCTTCATCAACGGGTTCGCAGCCTCTCAGAGTTTCAAGCCGGCTGCGTCTCCCCTGTCGGTCAGACAGTACTCTCCCAGGAACAGGTCGGAGGACCGCATCCGCCATCCATTCTCTTTTAAAAAGACTTTTCTTTGGTTGTCCGGTATTGGTGATTGGTGACGGTGTTTTCCTCCTCACCGTCAGGGCCCACAGCAAGCCGCACTCTCGGCCAACGCTGGGGGGGATGGACCGCGGCACGGGGCTCCTCGACAGCCCCGCCGTCTTCGGCTTCCCCGGCGATCACGTCCTAAACGGGGCGCGCGCCCCCTCTGCCCGCTCGCCGATCCAGAGCCGCACGCGGCTGCAGCCAGGCTTCGGCTACCCACGGCGGGGCATCGGCACGGGCCGGGTGGAACCCGTCACCGCGGACTACTCCCTGGGCCTGGGCCTGGAGCTGGCCAGGGGCAGGTACGGGCCTAGGCACCAGGACCAAGCGGTGTTTGGAGGAGGGTTATGCGTGTTGAGTTTTTGTGCGTTCTTGGATTGCACAGCATGACTCAAAAATGAGGCTCTATTAAATTGTTGAGCTCCACATTAGACCCAGGAAACAAACACGAACAGCACGGCTATTAAATGGTTTTTAAATAAGTATCAATGGGCAGTTTGGTAGCAGGTTCCCTCCAAGCCGTTTCTGTGTTATTAGAGCTCTCATTACTATTAGTGTGTGTTTGGGCACACAGGAGCTTTACTGGGGGGCTGAATGCAAATAAACATTCTAAATGAGCTGAACTGCACATCAATGCATTATTAAAAATGTTTTTTTTTTTTTCCCTTAAAGGAAAAATATCTACGGTTATAGGAAAAAGAGGGACGACAAGTTTACAGTAAGTATGAAGCGTCTGGATTTTGTGTTCAAGTTTGCAGATTTGATTTTCCAAATTGTTTATGTCTAGTTTTCTCCTGAAAAATGTTCATCTGCTCCTCTGGCCAGTTAGGGATCATTTATGTATATGCAGCTGTGATGTGTACAGAGGCAGAGTAGGTGATTGTACGCCATGGGCTGCGAGGAGAGTCCGTCCGCTCCTGGGGTCTCCTCCTCCAGCCCTCGGGGGGGGGGCTTCTGTTAGGTCTTCCCTTAGGATTCAGTAGAGCTCTCACCCCTGTCCGTGCAGAGAGCGACGACTCTGTCGCCCCCACCTCCTCAGAAGCCGCCGTCGCCGAGCTTCGAGCTGGGCCTGTCCAGCTTCCCGCCCCTCCCTGGAGCCGCGGGACACCTCAAGGCTACAGAGACGCTGGAAGGCAGGCTGTCCGACTTGGGGATCGGCTCCACCAAGGACAAGGTCAGGCGCCGCGTCCTTTTCTATTGTGTTTAGGCTCACTGAGAGTGGAGCCATAGCAACCTTACCGTAATGTTTGGAAAAGATCTGGCCCCAATCCCCTCATTTATTTTTAACGACGTCATACATGATATATCCTCCTCATTAATCTCCACCGTTGCCCATCCTCATCCTAACAGGCCCATCCACAACTCCAGGCCTCTGCACAATCTTGGCCGTAAAAAGTTTATGATTGTTGCAACGCGCTATTTTTATATTTGATATTCGCCCATAAAACAGGCAAAATGGCAGCCAACAAAAGCTGTGTTGTAATTGGTCAGCACAGGTGGCCTGTGTAACCTGTGCATATTCAGTTAATGTGCACAGCAGGAAAACAGCTGGACTGTCAATGCTTGTGTGCTTTGAATTATTATTATTATTATTATTATTATTATTCTTATTGATCAATCCCAGTGGGGAAATTGTCTTTTTGCCTTCCCCCACCGGCCATGAGGGCCAGCCATCCATAGGGACACCCAGGGAGCTGGGGGTTAAGGGCCTTGCTCAAGCAGCTACCGATGTGTTGTGGTCGGGTTGGAACCAACAACCTTCCAATCACAGGCACCGAGGCTTATCCCACTGAGCCACACAGTGAGGTTCATATGTTGCCACCAGGGACCCCAGAGTGTCCCCCCCCCCCCCCGTCCTGGCCGCGACGGTGCCGTGATCCTGCCTCTGCTCTCTTTCAGATTGTGAACATCGATGCCGGTACCAACACTGTCCCGTCTGGCATTCCCAAAGACCCGCTGGAGGTGCCGGCCCCCTGCCCCCCGCTCAGCTTCCAGGGCTCGCCGCCCTCGCCGCCGCTGCCCCCGCACTCCCCCCAGTGAGTCCCCCTTCCACCCCGGATCTTTCCTCCCCGCCAGCTTCCGCTCCAGCGTAATGACGCCGCCAACCTCTGATCCCAACAGCGAGCTGAAGCCGCAGGAGGCGAAGCAGAAGGAAACGCTGCCCCCAGTGGAGAGACTGACTGCCACCCTCACCACGGCCAGCAAGTCTGTCCAAGTGAACGGAGCCGCGACTGTGAGTGTGTCACGCCGTCTGCAGGCCGCACGTCGATATCGATATTAATGTCAAAGCCTGGTGACCCATGTACGGTGACAGTGTCTCGTTAATTGTCACATACACTGTTTATTTGGGTTGATTACTATCCGCTTGCATGTGAAATTCCCGTCTTCCTCGCGATGTCCGAGTGCCACCTGCAGCTGGGGAATCCTGGGGGGGGGGGGCGCAAGGGCACGTGCCGTCCCTGACACTGCGCCCCTCCTGTACCGAAACAGGAGCTCCGAAAGCCAAGCTACGCTGAAATTTGCCAGAGGGCGAAAGACACTCAGACACTACAGCCTGCGAGGGATCCCAGGCCAGACGAGAAGAAGCTCCCCGACGCAGCCAGCGAGAGGGCGGAGCCCAGATACAAGGAGGGATGCCCCGCCAGGACGACGCCCAACCGGCCCAGAGACGCCAAGCGACCCGTGGGGTCACGCCCCCCTCTGCCCCCAGCATCTCAGGGTGGAGACGGAGTCCCGACCAAGACCTCCGCCCCGCCCCCGAAACCTCTGTAATGATGCTGACGGTGGGGCAGGGGGGGGGGTGTTTGTGGGGGCAGGAGGCGCTATTTGATGTGTCCCTGGGAACAGACAGGCAGACAGGAAGTGTTGCAAGAGTGTGTTACTGTAACGTTTTCCAGACCTTTTCTCTGTTCAGAGGTTAGCGGGATTCATCGCTGGGTGCTTTTTTTTCTTTTTTCCTCCTTCTGTAACTGTCCCCCCCCCTTTACCATCTCCCCTTCCTGTTCAGTCCTGGAGTTGAAAACTGGCACATCTCGCTGCCCCGCAAAGAGACAGGCCCCAAGGAAAGCAGAGCCTGCGGAGGTTAGTGAGGTGCCAGCAGCGGGCAGGCGGGTCGCTTGAGGGACGCCGGCCCTGGCTGAGCTCACATGGGCCCTGATTCCGCGCCAGTTACCGGGGCTTGTCTGGCGTCTCGTACTGTTTTTCTTACTGTTTTATGTGCAGCTTTGGCAGTGTAGTAGTTCTGGCTGACTTGGGTGATGATATTGTTATTATTATTATTGTTATTATTGCTCATCAGACCTTTTTGCCAGCTTAAGTCCCCTCATTCAGATGCCAGCAGAGGTTTGTTGCACTGGTTGTCTGTGGGATAACTGAGGGAAGCCCCCTGCTTTGTCATCGAACGCTGGTTGTTTTTAGAGCACCATGGGTGTGTCCGCCACGCCCCGCCCCCATCACATGCTCAGCAGGTGAGCGCACGTTTGCGTGGTCTCTGAGACTGATGATATCAGGTTCCGTAGAAACCAGCTGCATTTCCACTCGGCTAGGGCTCTGGCTCTCGGGGAGTGGGCATCGCTGAGCCGGCAGGTGTTCCTGGAGCCCGAAACACACCTTAGCTCAATGATGGTTTTACTCTTCGCTCTTTGAAGGGTTCATTAACATACGGTGGTTTTCTTCAGTTGCAGGACCCTAACTTTTATTTTTATTTAGATATGGTGCTAGTGGTAATCTCCAGAGATTACTCCAATTAGTCTGGTACTGTATTTAGAAACTTGATCTATGTTAACTAAACTTTTGCACTATTTAATTTCCGTGGTGATTTAATTTCCATTACAATTTCAGTAATTTTTTTTTTTTTTCCCAGCTCAAAAAGGGATTGACTGGTGAAATGTTTTCAGGGTGGTTGATGGCTTGAGGACATCTTGACCCTAATGTGCATCCCATGTGAGATACGGTGTCCTGCGAAAGCCATGTATCTAACTTATCTATTTACCAATTAAAGCAACCTGTTGACTCTCAATGCATAGATTTGAGACAGGAGGAAGTTGGCGAAAGGGTGCAGCTCTGTTTACCGACGGAGGTCCTGTTGTTGCCCTCTCAGCCTCCAGAAGACTTACACCGGTGTTCTGCTTCCACCTGCCGCATTAAAGTTCCGTCACTCTGCCTCCTAATTTCTCGCTTCCACATCTTAGTTCTGCTGTTAGGAATCATTCTGAAGGCAAATGCAAATGTAAAGCCCTGACATTGAGAGTGACTGATACGTTCTTCAGAAATGCCGCTTTTACACGCTCAGCTTGTCGACGAGCGTGTATCTTATAGGTAATTGTGGGTTTTCCTGCGCGCCCCGCCCCGCCCCTCTCGCCCGACTCTCATAGCTCCATGTTTTGCGGGTTTGCATAACGAGTGCTTCTCCATTGACGTTTTGTGCTTGGCATCACATTGACGTCTTCCTGAAATGAGGAAATCTGCTTTTGGAACATGAGGACGTCGTCCTAGAGAATCACAAGTCATAATTGTCATTGTTCATTGTTCATTATTCATTATTATATTAATTATTATTACTACAACTACTATTATTGTGGAATTCCTTGGGTTGCTAGAGCATAGAATTGAATTAAGTCTGAAGGACTGAAATGCACTAGGGGGAGCAGCGTAGCTGTGAATGTGTATTTGTATGGTGTTGGTCACTATCATACGCCACACGATTCACAGTCTTTTACTGCTTATTCCACTGAATATATCAGTTTTTTTTTCTTTTTAAGATGAAACGAGAAGCGCATCTAAATACATGTAAAACATAGTTTCCATCCAGTGTTTTGAAAACTTGAATTTTATTTAAACTTGAAAAACTTTGCCTTAACTTTTTTATATGAGAGAGCTTATAGTTCGGTTTTGAACCCCAAACGGGTTTCTGGGAGTGACATGGATGCTCTGTGAGGCTCACAAGTCTCACTTGGTCTCAAAAAAAAAAAAAGTACAAATCTAGCAGCAAATTACATTTTTGTAATATACATGAAAAAACATATTTGATTTTTTTTCTGTTTAGTTTCCAATATCTATTTTCAGTTTTTGAGAAATAAATCCTGTAAATGCAAGTAGTTAATACTGTATTAAATATGTGCACTTGAGTGTGTTTGCTTGTAAATTTGTAAATAATCAGAAAAATATGAGGTACCTTAAAGTGATTAAAAAATATATATATTGATATTGTTGAAATATTAATGTTGCTCTTCAGCTGGACGTAGATTAAAACGTAATGTTTTTTTTTCCCCTTTTGGTTTATTTGTTTTCGTTTTTCTGGAGGGTGGAGCCGTCTGCCTTCACGTTGTCATGTGCCCTGAAAGTATGATTGTAATTTTTAATTGGTGTTGCCATTCCACATTGTCAGTTCTCTGCACGCGGATTGCAGGAAGTACCCCGCTCCCCCATCATTGTAACTCTGAGGATTGTAATTTCTTTTTTTTCTTCAATTTTTATTATTTTTTTTTATTGCTATTATGATTTTTTTTTTTTTTTTTTGCACGAGCTGAACTTTTATTTTTTGGACCTGGGGTCCGTGCCATACTGGACCTGCATCGCGATTGGCATCTGTACGTCACCGACTACCGGAAAGCACATCGTTAAAGCACAGCACTCTGAGATCGTCTCTCCTACCGTCTCCTAGCTTGCGTCCTGACAGCGCACACTGTACCAAACCTGTAACCTCATGGGAAAGTGAAAGGTAGTGATGCTGTAATCGTGTAACCATATGCCTGGGGAGAAGGCACGTCGCCCCGTGGCCGCCTGGACGACTGCCCCCTGTCCCTGTGCCATTCATTCCTCCACTGCGGCAGCTTGGTGCATGCACACTTAAAGCTGCCATGGTTTTGGGTATCCATCGTAATTCCAGCGCTGGATCAATGACAAGAGCAGAGCTGCTACCAGGACTAAGGAGGATGTGATCGTTGTGTGTGACTGGCAGGTGTCAGGCGGATGTCACCTCTGCCGACAGTTTGCCTGTCCTAAGAAGTAGATGTGGATTTTTTTTCTTTCCCCCCCCCCCTGTTTGGTGCGTGTGGGTGTGTGCGTGTGCCTGTGTATGTGTAAGAAGGTGAACACTGAATTCCATATTTGTGTTAACTTACATGCAAAAAGTCACTGACAGAGTTGGGATACAAGTCAGCAGAAAAATAATTACATTTTTTATTGGCAAGAAGATTAAAGATGTGATATTTTTCCAGGAGCAATTTGCCTTGTAATGAAGCTGGTCTTGCGCTGGTTTAGTGCTCTCCCAGCGGTGGTCATGTAGGCCGCGGAATGGAGGGAGTCGGGTTGGTTTGTGATTGGCTTAAAGTTCGGGGGCATGTTTGGACTATGATTGGCAGCCTGGAGTCCCTCCCGATGACACTTGCCACTGGACCACTGGGATTTTTTTTCCACCTGGTTTCAGCACCATTCGGCCCATTAAAGGACCCTTTAAGTCAGTCTTACCGCAGGTCACGGTGCCACAGACGTACCTGCTGGTCCAAACTGCTGTTGACAGTTTCACGCAGATGGGCTTCCTGTGTGCAGCGTAACATAGTACACTAACAGCAGTGGACAATCGACCAATGGGAGAAGCCGCAGCGGGCTTTTTGGTTTGTGTGTGTTTTTTTTTTTTTTGTTTTTTTTCCTCCCCCCTCACTACCCCTCCTCATCCACCAACTGGAATCAAGCATACATGTCTTAAGTTTCTTTTGTGTTATGATGTAAATTGTATAATTTCGGGGGGGAAAATGTAGCTTACTGAAAGAAATAAAGATTTAGGCACTGTTACCAACTCCTGTGTGTCTGCCTTGTCCATCATGTGCCGGATATTTGGTTATTGGAGTCTGTTGCCTCCGGGCCTGGATCCATAGGGGGAAAGCTGTTGGTCTGTTAGGGTCCTTGTCAGAAGGACTGTAGGATGTGGGTCTGCTCCCTGGGTCTAGGGGCAAGCTAGACATGCAGGTGATTCGCTTTAGCTTGGCCAAAAGGGGTAAAGGGAGGTAATTTCCAAATCGGCGGTGACTTCGTATTTATTCATGAAATTCATTAAGCTCATTTCTGCTCATTTCCTGAGAAAGTAATTGATCATTAATTATCCATCCCTCTCCCGAGGTAAGTATCCCAAAGCTGGCAGCCCCTCAACTCTGCGAGCCCCCAGAAGACGGAGATGTCCAGTTTGTCTTTTGTGTGGACTGGATTGATGTCCGGCTCTTCACTCGGGTGCAATGACAGCCCAGGTAAGCCTTGGGGATCTGAGTTGACTGACCCTAAGGAGATTGTGTGAGCTGCAGTTTGTGGGCTCCATTCCTGCTGGTTCAGAAACTGCAGGAGTCTGACTGGGCATGACTTTCAAATAAGGATGCTAACTGAAGGCTGCATTTGAACAGCACAACAGCATCCGAATACTTATTTTAATTTTATCTTTCCTAGCTCATGACTAGAACAGTGCCATTCAAACTTTTTCTTTTCTTGACAAGGCCACTCTAGGGCTGATATGTTTGGCCCTGAACACACACAGACAGACAGACCCCGAATAAACTTTAATTAAATAAAACAAAATAAAATTTTATCATATAATGTGTTTACATGTGTACGGTTTCTGGAGGTCGCGATTCTGAAATGGGTCTGTCTCTGCCTCAAGCCCACCCCCCTCCCCGATTCTCTCTCGTTTTTTATTTTTATTTTTCCTTCACCTGAATCCCCCCCCGCCCCTATTTTAACTGCCTGTTAAACTCATACTAAGTGGGGACATGTATCACAACACAGGATTTCTTGCTTCGCCAGAAAATTTGTCAGATTTAAGGTACCTCGGTTTAAATATACTTACTTCCTTCACTCACATTTGGCCCAGACTACCTTAAATTCGACAAGTTAACTGGCTAAACGAGAAATCCTGCTTTGTGATACAGGCCCCTGGTCAGTCTGATTCTCCCTATTCCAGGACTACCCATTATTTATGGTTGATTTTGGACAACAATGCTTATTCATGCTGAAAAACGAGTAAATAGATCTTTTCATTCAGGGAGCAGGAGAATAAAGGTGCGGTGTTGTGTTTCGCTTTAGGCCTGCCTGCAGGACGTCAGCAATGTTCTGAGAGACACGTGGGTCTTACACAAGTGATGTGATAAACCTTTTGCGTCACCAGAAGCTGTTGACATCCTAAATCTGTTGGTTACATGATACCATTTTCCATGGGCTAAGATAGAGCTTTTGGCCATTAAGCTTGTGACTTCTGAATGAGTGTAGAAATATCAACTGGCCAGTGGAAACGAAAGGCACAATAAGCTACGTGTACAGAAAATCGCTTATGCAATAATGTGGTTTGGCCACAAGATGGCAATATTAACATCCAGAGGAAAATTTGAACAGGTCGGTCGCATTCAGTGCATTTGCGTTGTTCTTCATTAATACTGCAGCATTGAGCAATAGCTTCGATCAAGTGCATAAGTGTACTTTTTTTTCTGGAACTCGTTCTGTTTTTTCCATTCATATACGGAAAATTCCGTTTGCACGCCAAATGGTGAAAGAACTAAGAAGCAAACAACCGATAATATTGCGTCATCTTACGGAAATAGTCATATTTAGGCCGCTGTTGGATTGGTTTTCTAGCTATTATATCAATGTGAAGACAAGACGGATACTTAATAGAATAAAAGTCTTCTGTGAGTAACCAATGATATGAGTCGATAGGAATCCAGACTGACGGGAGTCAGTGTTTTCCCCAGTCTGACAGCAGTGAGTTCTGTTTGCTTGTTTGTTCCTGGTGGCTCTGTGTGGATAACAGATGTTCCAGGTGCTCGGAGGATGTAGCTTTTTCATTTTTGTGGACAGATGGTTGCCACGGAGAGCGGAAGGGGTTAATGCTGAGGCAGGTTCACTAAAACTGCCGTGACACACGCGTCCTGGTCACCTGTGCATGACCTCATTTGGCGTCCTCGTTAAGGAATAATAGTGATCCTCAGTAGGTTCACCTTGACCTGCACTGGAACTCTACCCAGGGTGCACCGCGCTGCATGCCCCGCATCTCCCTCAGTCTCGCTCCATAACCAGATCCTGAAGTGTAATCTGAGCTGCAGGGTACGGACAAATAGTCACCTTCCATCTCACTCTTATATTCGTTGACATCAATCTAGAAGCAGGTGTCTTTAATAGGCACATCAGATCAATTAGTTAAACACAGCCAGATGTCGCGTGTATCAGGTGTCGGACGTCCAGCTGAGCAGAGGAGCGGGAAATGAACGCAGCTCGTAAACACGGTGCTGGACGCACTGTTCGCGACGCAGAATAATCAATAGCGGAGGATGTGGACATGCGATCTGGGTGTGCCATGTATACACAAATAAAGGTGTATAATATGTCTATTTTTCCGGTCCCGGTGGGGGGG